TTGACAACAAAAATTGCGTTGTAAAAAGTCACTATGAGATATTGCTGATGAAGGTATGCGAAGGGGTGGCAAGGTCATCCAACGCGGCTTCTCTTTCATCTACGCAGTTCTAGGCTTCTCTGGACTTCCCCAATACTTTCGTTCTCACGCCGATGAAGGACAGGTCAGGTTGATTGGAAATGGAAAGAAGTTGTAAAAGGTGCTTGTCATATTTATGATAGTCTCTATTCATTTAGGGCTTATAAGGGTGTTGTTAAGTTAGGGAAAGCAGACGCGGTGGCGTTCTTTTGAAGATATTGACCGCCCTAGTGGCAAGTCCCGCACCCGTGGACTTTCCCCGAGGCTTCGGTTCTCACAGTGATGTACGTCCAGAGAATTGTAAATTAAAACTGATTTATATAAGTTCCTCGTTATTTTTACGATAGTACCTTACCTATTCGGTAAAGGTTTTTAGGTGTGTTCTTAAGTAAGAGAATAGGGATGACAGACACGGTGGCGTTCTTTAGAAGTGGTAGGTCCCGCTCCCGTCAACTTAAATATTTGAAGGGTTTGGTATTTTTTTTGTTTGGAGCAAATATAAGCATTTGTCAATTATATAAGGCAAGGACTATACAGATCTTAGCATACACAGCATATACAGCATATACAGACATTATTTTCTTCCGCGTTCTCTTCCCATTGCGATTACTTATATAGTTAAGTCTTTTTTTGTTTTACTTGCGATATCAGTAATGCTCCATATTTATTATGTTGCCAATTTATTGTTAATTTGTATTTTTCAAGTTTCTATGTTAGTTTTACCTGATATTCTCACAGCAATGGCCTTTTCGAACAGAAACAAGTAATATTGGCACGGGCTTGGAAATATGTTTCAAATCAGGCGAAAGTACTTGGAATCACACGATTAGCCGACATTTATGTTATAGAAAGGATTTCATGTGTTCTAAATAACAATCTCTCTAGACATCGCCAGAAGTTATTTTACCATCCATGCGATTCGGGCAACTTTGTCTAGCGATCCTTTAAGCTCGTGATACCCAACATCTGTTGACCGTTATTAAGTCACTGGTATCGCGGTTGGTTAGTAAGTATTCCTTTGGTTAGTAATACATCATAAAACCCAAATACATTAAATAATCAATGCTCAATAGCATTCATAGGAATGCCCTTTTCCTTTGTATTGTATTTTGTAATTTGTTACTCTAGTATAGACTAGTTGTTTCCAGTTAATATTAACTATACAGTACCTATTTAAAAATCATTAAAAAAATTTAATTACCTTTTAACTTCTCAATACAAAAAAAGGAAGAATTTTAAGCGCTTAACTTTTAACTAACCGTAAATAAAAATCTTAAGCTCAATACTGTTTTAATAAAGGTTTTAACAGAGTAGGCTTAGAATACTGACTGGCAGACCAGTTAAAATGTTTATCTTACTTTTAAAATGTTAAATAAGAAACTCTTCACATACCATGTCTTTTTGTAAACACTCTAACGTCTTCAGCCAAATGACCTTGGTTTCGTTGTTCTTTAACCATTATTTTTAGATCATCAAAAGCGCGGCATCTTGAAATTGTTACGTACAATTCCCCATGCTGTAAGCAGGGATGCAGCTCTAGCAGATAAAGACCAACTTTTCGAGGACGAATTTTAGAGGAACACTCGTTTTCCAGCTGAACTTCAAGTAATAATTTCAAGACTTCATCATTCATAACTTTCGCCATTAATCTGGTTCTATTAACCAGTCCTTTTTTTGGATTTAATTTTCTTAGTAAAATTACAATTACACCTTTTTTGACATAACTTGCGAGGAGGTAAACCCTTATCGAGGAGCAATATGTCATTCTGAACAGTGTACAGACAAAACTCTAATTTTATTTGCAGATATTTTATATACAGCACCATTTGATTAACTGTATTTTTTCACTTCTATAACAGATTTCGTTTCTCATGACGCTTGATGAACGACTTATACACCTAATAACAACTTACTTAAATAGGCAATCCTAACGAACTACTGTTGCAGTAAACTTAACTGTTACACATGTTTGAAATTTACAACATCTTGCATAATTACAATACTTTGTGCCTGTTGGCTACTATGAATCGTTTGGATTAATTTAAGATATTAAACTTTTTTGATATAGGCCTACACAAGGTAAATTGACCTCCATGTTACCCAAAATTATACACAGGTCCTATATATATACTAGTGTACATGTTGCTCAAATTCAAGCAATTGCAAAGTATTACAGGGGTTATTTCAAAACCAATAACAGTCATATTTAAAAAAGTTTAACTCAAAGTTTAAAAAGAGTTTAAAAAGAGTCAACTCAAATATTACCATTGTGTAACTCAGACCCTGATTACCTAAATCCCTGATCTTCGTTATTGATAAACCTTAAGCATTCCGGCTGGTTTTCTCCTTCTCAAAATGCCTCGCTGTACAGGCAACACATGTCATTGATAGAGGGTCAAATTGAGAACGAAAAGTCTTTTAGGGGTAGTGTTAGCTCGCATTCGTAACCTAATAGTTGAGATTGTCCAGGGTCAGGTGCTGACGTGTACGCCTCCTTTCTATGTTTCGTTGTTGTCGCGTCGGAGGCATTTAAAAGAAAAAAACAACAAATAAACAAATTATAGCTACACAAAACAACGATAAATGCACAAAGTTACAATCATGCTAACACGATCTGTCATAGCGACACAAAGCAACGATAAATATATAAATTCAAGATACAACCATACTAACACGGTCCGTTTTCGTTTTGGGGGTTATGTTTACACAAACTCAAATAGTAAATAAATTTACTCGATGCGTTTCATTGAATCGAAAAATAAATAACAGTAATTAAATTATACAGCTGATCAAAATGTAAACAATTATGTTCTTCATAAGGATAACATGGGAACTTTCAAAGCCACTGGGGCAGAACCCAAGGGACTTTGTAAAAAATGTAAGGCCAGTTGGCAAATCTACGCGACACGCTCTTTCCAGTGAGATGTCAATGGATAAAATCGGTTAAGAAATGGCGGAGGAGTTCAACCGACAAAGTTTCATGTAGCGTATTAATTATATATACAGTATATATATACACCATATTACCACACTACAAATGTAATTCTACAATATACGGTACGTAGTTTTATCCAAACAAACGATCAAAACCCCCTAATGATATTGTTATTTGATTCAATAGTCAATGCACATAAGCGAGTCTTATCTTTCAAAGCAGATTAAATAATACAAAGGCAGAGGAATGCGCGAGAACGAGGTCACTTCACGGTTGCTATAGAAACGACGAAACTATCCATTAGAATTGCGCGCCAACGTCAACTAAACTCCAGACTGTATAAACACGCCGAGTGTGTAGTGTTCGACGGAGCTAGGCTACTTTCAGTTGGCAAGACTGGCTTCTAGCCTCGAGCGACGTGGTTCAACCACGAGAAGCGCCTCAAACTCCTGGGTAATCCCCGGTTAGCTCCTCCCACTCTGCCCCCTATCCCCACCTAAAAGACGAGCAAGTGGTAAGTCGGTCGGGTCGATTGACGACAAGTAGGTTTCTCGTATATAATAATTTAGTTTTACAGGCCGGTCAACTGGAATGACGATGAAATAACTTGTCGACGTACTGGTTTTCAGTATTTATCTATTTAATTAAAAAAGACGGTCTATTGGCCAGACGACCAAGTATCTTGTCGGTCTACTGGTAGGCTCCCATAAAACAACACTATAGTTCGGCTGCTTGGAAAGCAGCCTCCTCCAGCATTGGTTTAGCATTACTGTAGCGCGCAGGTCGTTTTCTAAGCGGCCGAACTATAATTTAAAACATTCTTCTTCACTTTACACTAAGAATTCATAAACAAATATTTTAAACGTTTGCACAATTCAGAGATAGTAACGAACTATATTTCACTAAATTTAAGCCACTGACATCTACACGTCCAAATTGACACACTTCTACCACTAAACTGATTTTATCCAGCTTTAAGTATACACAATGTAGCAGATGTATTATTTTATTGATATAGGGCGAGCGTTTTATTGGTCATAAAAAGTAATTGTCCCTGGATTCATCAACGGATGTACGTAGTCTGTTAACTGATGCATTGCACAATGACACACCTTTTTTTCAACCCAAGACATTGTAATTAACTACCATTTATTTATCTACCACAGAATATATATTTTTAAATCATATATCTTTGACAGAGGCTTATTATTAAAAGAAAATAGTTGTACTTAAATTATTTGTTTGAATTGTTTTTTAATTATTTTAGTAGTATAATTATACCCAATAACTTATTAATTTAGTTGGCATCTTGTTCCAATTAATTCACAGCAAATTTTCCTATTTTGTAGAGTTCAAAGCTTAATTCCAATTTAAGATACTGACTGTGGTTAAACATTCAACTTAAACAAGCCATTATATTTAAAAGTAAAACATACAGTATAGTTTTTATTAGTCTAAGTCAAATTACCAGTCTATCTTGATAAATACCATAAAACACACAGAAATTAGAAAAATGAACTTGAGCGCCTTTACGAGAGTCGCGAGGACTGTTGACGCATCCCGCATGACAGAAAACATGAATTTTACAGTAATGGTAGTAGCAAGGCTATCTTCCATAAGACCTGTACTGCACAGTGAACGTGGAATTGAGTATAGCTTTCTAGCAAGTTTACTTTTTAAAATTCCTTCTACAGGTGACAAGTTCTTTTTCCAAATGAATGTTATTTTAACTAAACATCTGTTTCCAAACAAACTATATGTCATTGTTTTTACTTTTCTTTGTTTACTTATTTATTCAGCAATTAATGTAGTGAAATTAATTGGCCTATAAAGGATAGGTATGGACGACTTGTGGATTACTTGGACAGAAGAAGGTAAGTAAACCTCTTGTAATAAAATGTGAAGTAATCCAGGAGGCATTTTAGAAAATGAAGCTGATTTTATTTTTTATTAATTAATTTAATTATTGTGTATTTTATTTTTTTAGCGTTTTTGAAGCTGAGTTGAGTGAAACAATTCCTGTAATTCATGCTTCAGTTGCTGGTTGTCGAATCATTGGAAGGCTGTGTGTTGGTGAGTTAAATTTTTCCTGGCAATATGGCCTTTGCTTCAAAGGTCCCGTAAAAACTTTTACATTGGTACCACTAAAATTTAAAATTAATTTATGTTGGTAGAGTACATTCTTTTGGGGCAATAGGTACATAAGGTAATGTACTTGTACTGTTTTTTAATTGAATAAAAATGTGGACTTAAACTCAAATTTATCTTATTAGACATTTTCTCAGGGAAGAGAAACTATAAACTCTATTCACCAACAAAAACGTGTGTTATCATCAGCCTCTTGTTGGAAATACCGGCAAACTCACGACACTTGTTATCTTGAATGAAAATTCCTGTTCGAGATTGAAATGTTAGCTATCCTAGCCTTAAGTTAGAGATTCCTTTTACTCTATGTTGTATTCATAAACGTATGTATACTCAGGCAACAGACATGGTTTACTGGTGCCCAGCTCCACAACTGACACAGAGCTGCAGCACATCCGTAACTCTCTGCCAGACTCGGTCAAGCTACAGAGGGTGGAAGAAAGGTTGTCAGCGCTAGGTAATGTTATCACTTGTAATGACTACGTGGCCCTCGTACATCCCGACCTTGACAGGGTGAGTTGATGGGTAGCAATCACGAATACTAGACCAGACCCTGTATGAATCATAAACATAAACAAATTATATTACTGGCCTGAAAGTAAAAATTATTTAACATTGCTCAAATGAAACATCTAAACCATATGTTATAATGCTATTAGTATAGGATTTGGGCCAGCAACGTCATTTGTTTTATGTTTGTGATCCATGTTCTGTTAAAGTATTTGCATTAACAATACTTGAAAATATATATATGTAAGTAGCCAGGTAGAAAGTGCTTACCTTCAAATATGAAGTTTGCCGGTTCGATGCAGAGCGGTACTGATTCTGGGTGCCATTTTACCTTAGGCTAGCAATCGATGGTACTAATGACAAATCTATGATTTTGCAACGTTATATAGTACAAGACAAGAGTGTAGACCGTTCCCTTATAAAGATAAAATACCAAGACCAGGAGTTATGACATTGTGAAAAAATAAAAACTAGGTGCTATTCGTATAAAAAAACAAATAGATACTTTTTATAGAGCTTTTGGACAGCTTAGATTGGGTAACTTACCCACTTATCCAAGACAATTTTGAAACCAAGAATAAGCCATTAATTTTAACTGAAAATTCTTATGTAAAGTAGTTACTTTAGTGAACAAGATAGAGCGATGGTTGATCCGTAAAAATTGGGATGGGCCAAGGAAATAACAATTCTTGATACCAACCTACTTTGTTACTTTTGAATGGACACCAATAATTATAGAATAGGAAATGGGATTCTGGTAAAATCATGAGCTGTAACATGATGTCTTTGCAGTAACATCATCATAATCAACGCAACGTCAAGTCCAACCTTTGCAATCAATTATTGCAATTAATGAATAAAATAATTAATAATTAATGTATAATAATTAATGAATTATTGGGTGAGTTTCTCGTAGAACTCCTTGTAAAAGTCTTTTTCAAACATTTTCAGTTTTAACATTTTTTATGATCACTATATTTTAGAAATTTCAAATTGGGTTACAGACAATCTGTACTCATTCATGACCCAACCCTTTCATTCCAATCACACTAGATTTAGGAGTTATATTAAGCCTGAAACCCATAGATTAGAGAAATTTCATTCATCTCCCCAATATATAGGCCCACAAGTTTACAATAAGTTACCGCTCCGTATAAGGGTGAATGTCAAATTGAGAGAGAATTTCAAAAATTTAAAAAAAAATGTTTTTTTAATTGTTATTAATATCCAATTTTTACCTAAGCTAGGATATATGCTTTACTTTAACCTCCAAGTAGTGGTCGAGCTTAATCTTTTTTTATATCTGAAATATTGACATTTTTTCTAAGCAATGAGCAGAAAAAACGTCTAATGCATACTATTGTAAAACATATTTTTTCAAGTTTAAAATTGATTAAAGGTATTAAATAAATGGTGGAAAGCAACATAAAATGCATCACTTAAACTTAATAACCGATCGATTTATTTCTAGCAATTTATTTATTACGTTTTAAGTGGTTTTTTAGTATTCATGATCAAATTTATCAGAAAACTAAACTGTTTTTTACCATTTAATTGACAATTTTTAAAATGAAAATAATAATATTTACTTTGTTAAGAAGTATTGTAACTATGTATCAAAGGAAAATTGGATTTTAACCGATAGTTGTGATTTATATCCAAATATAAATGAAAATGAGAGTGTGAGCGACGAGACATCACGTGAGCGACGAGACGTCACGTGAGCGACGAGACACGGGCGCCGTGGGCGACGGGACAGCAACGTGAACGGGGGTGTGGGGAAGACTCGGCATTGATGTTTAAACATACTTACAATCATTATCAACGCAATATTTTGACAACTGTAGCTTAATGTTACATAATATTACAAAATACAGGACGAGAATACTTTCATTTGAACAAAAAAACATTCAGTGAAACATACCTTTATATTCAAGCAGGATCGCCAACTGCCGTAATGTAGTAGCCTGTAGCACTTCATGTAAAAAATACTGTCACAAATGATATTCAGATCGTCTAAACCACAATAAAAATCTATACACTACACAGTCTATATACATTATTTACACTGTTTGTCTTTTCAATGTTTTATTTCTTTAAAGAAACAGGCCCTGAGAATTTGTAGTAGAGCCTGTCCCCCTTAAATAACATCTCTGGTGTAGGAAGGATTCCTTTTACTTCGTCAACGGAAATGGTAGATTCATCACTTTCATTAGGGAAAAACATTGAATCGTCATTATCGCATTTTCTTAAAAACATTACGTAGATTTCCCTTTCGTCCAGATGGTCAATGTTCTGAATGATAGCAACATAGTCTTTTGATTTATTTTTCCCCGTAATGAACTGTACAACAATGAACTTTCCCGTCTTAAAATCGTCATAAGACAAACTACTGTTTGCTTCAATGGCTTCTTGATCGTCTTCATCATCTGTATAGACATCAGATACCTTCAACTTTTTCTTTGTCTTAGGTTTCATATTACTTTTCTTAGGCTGTTGTTGTTCTCCATCAGGTGTTATTGAAAATAGATGATAGTGGCAGCATATATCTTCAAGTGGGCAATCAAAACAAGAAAGTTTCCTAAAATGCAGTGTTCCTGTCTTCTTTGACCATGTTATCTGCTTAACATTCATAATCCCTTCAATAGGGGAGAGTTTTTCAGGGATCAATGACTTAATATGTTGAAATGTTTCTGACGTTATTTCCACAGTTTTGGTTTTGCTCTTGACAAAGTTGTCAACAATATCTTTTGCACAGGTTATATCTTTTTTAAAAAGAACTTTGTCATCAGAGTTTCTTTTTATGGACCCGCCTACCCCATCCATGACACCCTTCCCGTGCCCAGCCTCTGAATAATTCCACGAAAATGTGGAGAGTTTGTCAAAATGTTGTGGGGTTAACAACTTCATCAGGTAAACATTTGTTTTGTTCCTGTATTGGGAAGAGGGACTGTCCGAGAAAAAGTGAATTGTTTTTGTGTCAGGGAATTTAAGATTGGCGTCAATTAAAATGGGTTTCATGTGACTCCATACTCCATGTGCATGGTGATCCAAGTCATCAGAGACGGTGCAAAATGTGGTGCATTTGGCCTTATTATTTTCTTTTGTGGTCATGGCTCCAGTGTGTAGGGAAATTTGCCTCTGAGATGCACCAAAATGGACACTCTGTATTTCTGTGGAAAGTTTGGCAATATAATTTTGTGAGAAATCAATTTGAAAACATATTTCATTTTCCTTTGGAAATTTCGTCAACCTTTTCAACATCTGTGCCTGATGCATCATGTTAAAAACATGTTTTTTAAAAGGAGTTAAGTCCGCATTAAGTAGTTTTACTAATTCTGACTTTTTCTCTGATTTCAAAGTCTTTTCGACATGTTTTATTGGTTTTGCAACTCCCTTGATTATTTTATTTTCAGTAATGGTTTCCCATTTGTTGTAATGAATTTCTTCATCTTCTCCTAAACAATACTCAACTGATTTGTTTCCGCAATCAGAACAAAGGCCCATCATACATTTTTCGTTCCTGACTGAGCATACTGTGTTTCGTAACAAATCATGGACATCTGTATAACTAATAACTTTAGAACGTTTCAATGCTGCCACTATAAATTCAATATTCTCGTGCTTTATACAAGCGCAGGTCTCGCGATCTTTCTTTTTGGGTCGCTGCACCCACCAGGGTCTAGAGCGATAGAAGACCGATCTTGATACATTCTTGATTTTTGTCTCTTCGACAAATTTATCATATAAGTTATGTAATGAATCTAAGAGGAGTCTTCTCTGCATTTTTATATTCCCTCTTTGAATGTAATCCTTTTTTCCCGGTAACATTTTTGAAACAGTGTCGTCCTCGTAGAAATCTCGAATGGCTTTCGCTTCTTTAACCTTGACGGTGTTGTAAGTCTTCCTGTCATAACCCAAATTGGGTTTGTTATCTGTCTTCAAAACTCTGTTGTATGTGTACGGCACAATAGTTTTAAATTGTTTCTGCAATCTGTATTTTTTTAAGTATTCGTTACCTACAGCCTTAGTCATTTGTTGTCTAAGTTTGGACTTAGGACTGGCCGATGTCATTTGATTTTTCAACTGTTTTTCCAGTACCAGACCGGAAAACAATTGCTTCCTTACAAGTGGCGATACTTTTTCAGTCCCGATTATTTTATCTAGGCGTTTCCTAGGTGAAGGAGACACCCCTGTTGAAGCCTTGTTCTTTTTCTTCTCTCTTTGGAGACGTTTTTTATATTTTTCCAGCTTTTGTTTTAATTTGTTATTTTCATCCTTCATACTTTTCAACTCTTTCAAATTTTTTAATCTATTACGTCTAGCAATTTTTTGGCCTTCTTTGCTTTGACGCGTTTGTTCTCTTGCTGGCACCATCAAAGCTTCCTCATCACTTACAGGTGGAGTGTTCTCCAATGTTTCCTCTCTTTGCTTCTGTCGTTTTCTTAACTCACGTTTTCTATCCCTCCACACTTTCCTTGCAGCTTTCTTTTCTTTATCAGTCATGTCTTTCACATATTGTCTTCTCTCTTTCGCACTTTTTCTATCCTGTTCCCTTTTCTTTGCCAATTGTTCTTCGGTTTTTTTAGCTTTATATCTTTTTGCCCGTTCATTAGCAAGCATTTTAGATCGCTCATATTTCTTGGCTTGTTCCTTAAGATTCGCTAAGGATGCCTTTTCTTTTGCATTCTTTTTTGGTTTAGGCATATTCTTCAATTAATAAACTTCTAATGTTGTCCCTAGAAAAAATAAAAAAAACTGTATTGGACTGCTTAAAAACACGGAATACTTACCTGCTACAAACACTGCTGAAACCTGAAAGTAGCCTATAAATTTTGTCATATAAGAAATGTTTAGTGACTAATAAAATACTAGGCCTACTTCCTTGTCTAGGCATTCCAATTTAGAGGATAAAATAATATTTAAACCAGTGCAAATATTTATTTAAGAACTA